TTGTGTAATAAAATATAATATTTTTTATATATATATATATATATATGTATATATATATATATATATATATATAAATAATTATTTTTTAATATTTTATATATGATTTTTAAAAATGCTTTATTTATATTATTATATTTTTAAAGCATATCAAATTTGATATAAATGTATGTGTATAGGTGGCCGCTCTGAAGTACTTGCCCACAGTCCTGCAAGATGTGGAAACAGTGTTCGATGCTAAACTCCTCAGGTGAGTCTCATAACAGCCTAAAATCTTTAGAACACACCTGATCGGTCTGGGCTGAACTGATGTACTGACAACAGTTTCTACAAGTGCTTGAAGACACTTTAAATGACCGCCATCAGTTTGTGACGTCAGAAATCAATCACCACAAACACACAGACTCTCCTTCACTCTGAAGCTGATGGTCCTTAATGCACTTTTTTTTACCTGATCTACTCGAACGCTAATGCTATTATAACTGTAATGTGACTTTAAAGGGGTCATATGATGCTATTTCAAGTTTTCCTTTCTCTTTGGAGTGTTACAAGCTGATTGTGCATAGATAAGATCCCAATATTTGCATAATGCCGCCCAAATGTTCAGGCAAAGAAAGAAGGCGTGGTTTCAGTAACCACAGTTAGTGTCGATGCAGCCATGTCAGGGAGACACTGTGTGTTTCTAGGCGAAAGCAAAAGCACTTTATTTGGCCTTCCGGAAGTAGATGCATTTAGGAATCTTTAAGATCACTTACAACAGAACAGCAATGCATTTTATGGACGACCGTTTCGTGAACCTAGGAGAGGAGGTAATTCTGACTTTGCTATGACAATCTGGCGCTTCTGAATCAGCTACTGTTTTGTTATTAGTTTAAATATTTGCTATTGACTGTTCAAATGCAGAGTTTTGTGCATCACGTGTGTGTGTGAGAGAGAGAGAGACAGGGTCACAACCGTCTTAACCTTTGCTTGTGTACTGCACACATACCAGCTTCATCACTGTGTCTGTCACGCGACTCTGTTCCCCTTTTGGGCTCTGTCTTTACATTTATTTTGAAAGATGAAGCTGGCGATTATGGTAAGGGGCATTACATTTTCGCCGAGTGCTTGTGGTGTTCGGCCAATCACAATGCACTGGGTCAGCTGGCCAATCAGAGCAGACTGCGCTTGTCGGAAGGAGGGACTTTGTAGAAAACGAAGCGTTTGAGAGAGGCGGGGCATAGAGGACCTACAATAATGTACAGTATTTTAAAAATAATGTGTTTTTTGAACATTAAAGCATGTCAACATATTCTGATACACCAAATACACCAAATAATTATCTTTAAAAAAGCATCATGACCCCTTTAACTGGTTTAGCTGCTCATGCACTTAACTGAGGCAGATGTCTGATGTCTCGACTTGAGTTTTTGATGAGTTTGAGAAACAGTGGAGTGAGTTTCTCTCATATGGATAGTTTAATTTGAGTGTTTTTATCTAGTTAGAGCCGGGAGTGTGTGTGTTTAGCTTCAAATGGCGTCTAATTCATCACTGCACACAAAACACAGAACGATTGTTGCGGCTCCGAGAGGGTCGATATGATACAGTAGTTTCTCACAGACCCCGGTGGCGTTCAGACTCGATCAATAAAACACAGGTCACTTTCTCTGCCCTCAGCATTTATTTATGGATTATTTTTGCTATTTTTATCTTTTATTCAAGATTATGGATTAAGATCTTCTACAGAAATACAGTATAAACTGACACTTACTGTTGTGAAAAAACTGATTAGATGACTTACAAAATATCACAAAATGAGATATTAAGTGCATGAACTGCTTTGAAGCTCTTTAAAAATTTTGTCAGTCGATCTCATTTACTTTTTTAATACCATATACTTTTCTGTCTGTCTGTTTGCAGTAAGCTGTTGTATGATTTCTACACCTGTATTCCTCCGGATAAACTACAGAAACAGAAAGTGGCGTCCATGACTGTGATTGTGGGCAGCAAACTCTTCCACAGACAAGGTAAAACACACACTCATGAAAGTCTGAGATGTCATTAAAAATCTGGAGGCCCCCCCCCCCCCCCCCCCCCTCTATTTACCTGAAACTATACTGTAAAAAAAGCAACATTTTGAGTCATAAATACTAAGAGTTGTGAATTACTAGGGATGCAAATAATCGGTATCGGCCGATAAAGCAATTAACTGCACTAGGGGTGCTCCGCTCAGGATTTTTGAGGCCGATCGCAGAAAGCAGGTACCGGGCCGATACCGGGCATTTTTTAGACATTTTTCAAAAATATATATTTATCTCACCTAAATGTTTGATCATGCACTGCATTTTTGTTTTTACAATCGTGCAATTGTTGCACAATAGCTGACACGGCGCAAGCCTGATTTTGTGAGCTATATGTGAGGCGGCCTTTTACACCAGGCTCACACATACTCCGTTTGCAGTGCGCATGCAGCCACATGTAAGCGTTGCAGAAGCAGCAGGTGCTCATTGTGCTTTCACACAGGAGTCTGCAACTGATCCGTGGCTGTTTGCCATCTATTATTGCCTTGTTTATCTAAAAGTGCTCTTTTCCTTTAAACATAGCCAAAAGCCATAGTCTATGTTGACTGTGAAGCACTGTATACTTTAATTATATGCATTTATGGTGTAATTACTACATTTTAGTGTCAATCCATGTTCATATTTACCGCAAACAATGCGCTGTTACTTTAATTCAGTGCTTGCAGCACAGCAAAAATAGACTCAGTGCGGAAATTCCATTAACATGATTGCTTCATCTGGAAAGCATCTGCTGTGTAAATCATCTCATAGACGTCTTTAAGATGTTAGTTTTACATACATTCTAAATCATAAACATCTTACAGACATTTTCTAAATGTGTATACATCTGATAGGAAATGTCCTATAGATGTATTGCAGATGAGCAAACACTCTAAAAAATACGTCTTGCAGATGTAAATGCAGACGTCAAATAGACGTCTCCGGGATGTACGTGTGCTTTCAGGGCAGACGTTTTTATTTGAGTGTGATTTATTATATCTGAATATAAATAGCATTTAATATAATAGTGTTGTTGTTCATTTTAACCTCTAATGTACCATTAAGGGGGTCTGAATACTTTCCGTACCCACTGTATATAGTTTAGAGCAGTGTTTCCCAACCTTTCTTTAGTCTGGGCACCCTTTGGAAATTTTAACAAATTTGTGGCACCCTACAAAATTAATTTTGTCACAGAGGACACATGAGCATAACGTTTAGCAGATCAATGAATGAGAGGGCAGCGTTACCAGAGTTGCCCATTTACCACACCATGGTACAATACTGTACTACATCGATGTTTCCTGTCAGCTCGATTTTTGAGTGGACTTTGCTGTTCCGATGAGCATGAATGGTATACGAGTGGAACACTCACATGGGCCGTGAGCGACTGAGCGGAGCGCACACACATAGAGCGGGATAATACGCAGAGCGTCACACCACGTGAAAGTGAATCCTGAGCGGTGAACTCATTTTCGGCAGCCGGAATTTCAGTGCATCTCTAATTATTGGCGACATCAGAAATTGATATTATATAATAGCTGCTTTTTTGAACATTTTAGCAATTTAAAAATATAAAAAAATATTTTTTTACACGGCACCCCTGCTCTCGACAGATGGCACCCTGGCACCCCGGTTGGGAAACACTGGTTTAGAGCATCGGCAGATATCATTCTGAGTAATCTGACATGAAAATTCATAGCAGTGCATCTACTACTTTAAACTACATTAAAACCCATGTTAGACCATTGTAATACCCCCAAATATTATCCCAAACTAAGCAAACACAGTTATCTGAACAAAGATGTTCAAACAATATTGCTGAAACATTAAGAATTTGTGAGTTCCCAGCATGCATTGCAGCATGAATAAATTAGGCATTTACTCTTAAAGTATTATTTCTTTTCTTTTCTTTTCTTCTCACAGCGTTTTTGATATGTTATTTTACACTGTATCTTTCCTCGTCTCTTTCTCTCTCTGGGTTTATATGATGGCCTCTGGCCTGCTCCTGCCAAACGGCCTGTTAACTAGATGCTATAAAGTGATGAATGGTGTGTGTGTGTGTGTTTGTGTGTGTGTGTGTGTGTGTGTGTGTGTGTGTGTGAGCTCTTTAACTTCGATAAGATGCAGACGGGTGATGAATGTGTTTGTATGTGTGTGTTTTACTAAAGAGTCTGATGGTTTTGCTCATGAGAGCGGTGATGGATTGTGTCGAGTGTGTGTGTTTAATGATGGGTAATCATAGACAGATTCATCATCCAGCTTCATTTAACATGAAGTGTTAACCTTTGCTTGTATTCGTTGTAAAATCTACCAACACTCTTGTCAGTGCATGACCAGGGTTATTGTAGCTAACTAAAACTAGAAGAAAAACTATAAAAAAAACATTTTACGTCAATTGAAATAAAATATAAAGAAGAAAACTTGTGACATATACATATATAGTGATATACAAATTAGGGGTGTCGAAATTAATCGTTTCTTCGATGCATCGCGATGCAGACGAGGACGATTCGTTATCGGTTCAGTAATAGACCATAACCGATTATAACGTACTGACTCTTTTCTGACGTGATTTGTCACATACGTGCTTTGTCGCGGTAGCATAGATTAGGCACGTTCGGCTTGAAGCACCGCTGCGCAGAATGATCAGTGTATGACCAAGTACCGCGAGAACAATAAGAGAGAAGACGGATCCTTATGCTTTCGCGGTTGATGTCATACACTCATCCTGCGCAGCACTGCTTCAAATCGAACGCGCCTAATGGCAGAGGAAGGCGAGACGCGAATGCGAGTAATTAAAAATGCTCCAAATACTTTAAAAGCCAACATCTGGCCACATTTCGGCTATTATGAACAACCTGAGCACGACCTGGAGAAGACACATGCTGTGTGCAAATCATGTCACGCACAATGAAATATGTAGGGGGTAGGGATCAGTGTTGCCAACTGCTTTCAATTGAAAGTAGCTAAAACTGGTAGCCAAATGTCACTAGAGGACATCACAATGGCAAATTCACTGATCTATATAAAGATGAACATAGATCAGTGGGCAAGATGAGAACTTAGATAAGGGTTGTCCAAGAAGTTGCTATATTTGTCCCTAAACTTTTGAAAAAAGTCTTAAAAGGGGAGGGGAAGTCGCTAAATCTAGCTACAAAGTAGCTAAATTGGCAACACTGGTAGGGATGGGCAAATGAAGCCTCGTGAAGCACTGAGGTTTTACTTTGACTGTTTCGGGAAAAGATTCAAAGCTTCGAGTGTCTCGAAAACAGCGCCATTTGGTGGTTCATAAAAAATATAGCAGTCAAAAGCCTGTGAAAGACAAGGCATCTACCACATATTCCACAGATCGATTCAAGTTACGTGCACAAATAAAAGCCTAACAGTGTGTGTGTTTGTTGCGTTTTTGATAAATTAATTTACCCATTAAACTGTGCAATTTCATACCAGTACGAATATCAATATGATGTAATAGAAGAATAATGTACTCGTATGAATTGCATATGACAAATATTGAATTTTTCTGAAATAATTTGTATTCTTCATATTACTTCGATGACTGGGTATCTAAAATGTATCTGAATAAGTCCGAATTAAAGCTCATTCGTAAAGAAAGATCTGGGGGATCGAACATTTCGACACGCAAAGTGAATCGTGCATTTTTTCTGCTGTAAAGTTGGGCATTTTAACATGGGGAGTCTATGGGATTGACTCCCCTTTGTAGCCAGCCTCTAGCGGCCAGTCGATGAATTACAGTTTAAGTCACTTCCGTGTTGGTCTCACGAGAGAGAGCGGGAGGTTGCCGCTTGAACACAACACAAGCTTCGAATCGAGGCTTCATCTGGCACGCCCATTTATTCTCAACACAAGCTCCGATGCCTCAGTTCACATCACTAGCAGGGGGTAATACCACTAACTTAAGAAACCAGGTCAGGTACAGTTCATATATCTGACTGCTTGTATTTATTGACAAAATTGTATAAATGTGAAGTAAAATTGAAAATTGAGGATGCGGTTCATTGGCAATGCATCGTGATATCGAATTGAACCGAATCGATGACATGATAATCGTAACCGAACCGAACCATGAGACCAGTGTAGGTTCACACCCCTAATACAAATCTATGTATCAGCACATTTATGTACATCTTATTCACTATAATTAAATTGTGGCAGGCAATTTATTACTGTATATATATCAACATCATATTAGTCCCGCCCAGCTCTCTAGTTATTGATATCAGCGTCGCTTGTTCAGTCGACAGTCGATGACTAATGATGGACACACATATGATGAAGTGTGTATTATAGCTGACCTGACTAGTTTCATCTGCGCTATTTTATTACATGTTGGTGTTATTACACATTGTTGTAATAGACAGACAGATGTTTTTGGCTGTGGCATTTTGTCTTATTGTTTTCTAAAATTACTTTGACAGGCCTGAGTTTTAGAGAGACTTTATACTAGCAACTCTGGTGTAAACATCAAAACTGCAGGGTATTGATCCGTTTTTTTGTGCCTGTCTCTGCTTGGCTTGCCACAAAATCAGATCCGCTCTACAGATTTCACTGCAAATGATAATTTCTCCATCTCAGTTGCATTCGACATCCTCTTAGTTTGCATGAGACATCAGGTTTCAGAATGAAATTCATGCATTTTATTGAGCACAATCTCAAGCTGTCCACTCCATATGTGTCCGGTGCGTTCGCTCATAAATATTCATGAGCGCTGCTATTTCGCCTCCAGTGATTGGTCCAGGCCTGCTTGACATCACAATGCGAGGATTTCTCTTTTGTCCCGCATGATGCGGCCAGCTGTTTACTTATTCATATATTCATGTGTCATTTTATTTATTTTTGAATTACCGTGTTCCCCGTAAGCCGTCCTGACAGGCATTTTAATTGAAATTTATCCGTCCGGCCGCTGGAAAACGAGGCCCCATTTTGTGAAATGTCAGTCTGAAATG